TTACGGTGAAACAGCTGGAATAAAGGTAAATGGAGTTCCCATTATCAACACTAGATATGCGGACGACACTTTGATCTTAGCCGGAAATATTGAAGATCTTGGGAGACTGGTAACCATAATAGCGGAGTATACAAGAGAGTAAGGTCTAACAATGAACGTCAAGAAGACGAAATTTGTGAGAATATCGAAAACTCAAAGAAATGACGAGAATCTTCTAATAAACGGTTACAAAAGTCGAACACGTGGACAAATATGCATATCTGGGAACAATGATTAACTCCACAAATTATAAGATTCAGGATATTCAAGAGATCGAAATCAGAATAGAAAAGGCTAGAACAAAATTTCAACAAAATGAGAAGAGTACTATTTACAAGGAATTTAAAATTGGAACTAAGAGTTAGGTTGGCGAGGTGCTATGTTTTGTCCAGTTTGTTTTATGGAATGGAATCTTGGACCTTAAATGCGACATCAATGAAAAAACTGAAATCATTTGAGCTGTGGGTGTATAGAAGAATTCTGAAAATATCGTGGACAGAACACGTCACAAACAAAAAGGTTCTGACAAGGATCAATAAAGAAACAGAAATTTTAAATACAATTAAAACAAGACAATTGGAATATCTCGGACATATTACACGTGGAGAGCAATACACCTTACTCCAACTGATTACGCAGGGAAAGATTAAAGGAAAGAGAAGCATAGGGAACCGTAGAATGTCATGGCTGCGCAACCTGAGAGAGTGGTACGGATGTACATCTAATGAACTTTTCTGAGCAGTCGCCTCAAAAGTCCGAATACCTATAATGATTGCCGACCTCCGCCGTGGAGATGGCACTTAAGAAGACTCGCAAATTCTATTCTATTTAATTTACCATACAACCTGTTTTGATACAGTTTCCCTATGCTTTTTTGTTCTAATCCACATATACTTGTGTATTTCTCTATGTTTGAAAATTCATTCAAGATGTCAGTTAGTTCTGTTCCCATATATTCCCTTTAAACTAACTCTGTGTCTATATATTGATAAGTTGGTTCCCAAGTTGTTATGTACTTTCTAAACCTTCTGTGTGTGATGATTGATCCTCCTTGTTTTGCTGTATTCCCTTTTTGGGAGCCCCACTATAGAATTGATCATATTTTTCCAACTTTCTGATCATCTACCTCTTGTTTTGGTTTCTGTTAACACTGCAATATCAATATTTAATCTGTCTATTTCACTTCCACTTCATTTACTTTCGTTGAGGAACCCTGTACATTCCATGTTCCACAATTCGTAATCATTTTCCGTAGCCTTGGCCCGTTTAAAGTTTCCTGTCCCGTCCGAGGCTTTTGATTGGGTTTTTTTTGGCAATATTGTTTACGTAAGAAGAGTGTTGACCTTTCGCTATAACTCTCCTCCTTTATCCGAGCTGGGGACCGGCAAGAGTGATGTTATGCTAGTCCATCCACACAACAATGATTCCAACTAATTACATTACGAATTATTATTAATGTTCTATATCTTAGTATATATCAATACATTTCAATTTTTTGTCGTAATGTACAATGCAGAAAATCAATACAGAGAAGCGAAATAGAATAGAAAAAAATTATGATTTATCACAATTTGATTCCATACTGCAAGAAAATAGAAAAGAAAGCAATTACCATACTGCAAGATAAATTATTAAGAAAACTGTTTACAAAATCTCTCATGTACTGTGTGCAGATGCACTGGGGACTGGTAAATTTCATGTGAAATCAAATTTCCTTTGGAACGATACTTTTGAAGAAAGTTGTTTAAACCTTAATAGATCAAAAAAAGAATATTTAGAGTAATTTCAGAGTGAACACAGAGGTACTACAGAGTAATAAGGAAATAGATGGCTAGATGGAATTGCATGCAGCTGTAATAGGGCGGAATGGATGAATAGAAACAGGTAGTGATAATAAATAAAACTGGAAGGCAAATTCCATGAAACTACCATAAAACCAGCTACGATGTGTGGTATGGAGAATACTTAAAAGAATGAGTGGAGTGACAAACAAAAATATGAATGAAAAGAATATAAAATAAAGAATGACTAAATGAATGGATGTTTGGGTGTGGTAGCAATTGATGCCAAAATGTTTCTTCTTCTTGACTGACTTTACAACTCGGGGTGAGTCTTCGCCGCATCCACTATAGCCCTCCATCTTTTACGATCTTGCCATTCCATTTTCCATTGCTGTACCCCAAATCCTACATAAATCGGCTTCAACATCATGCTTCGATCTTTTTCTGGGACGACCTACTGATCTTCTACCACCTGGTCTCTCAAAAGCACTGTATTTTAGTCTTTCTGTCTTCCTCTGATCTTAACACATGACCTGTCCATCTTATCCGGTTAGGTTTTTAGCGTTTGATAATGTTTTTGATGAACCTTCGTTTCCAATACCAGCAGCTTATTTATTACCCTCTGACGCTGGTGTACAGTCCATGTTTCACTATCATATGTAACAACTTGGCGAATAACTGACATGTACATTCTTAATTTAGATTGTCTTTTTAGCAGCTTAGATAAATGCTCTTTTTCTATGTGGTTGTCATCTGTGATTACCGCCCCCCCAGTTTTACCTGTGCATTTGAGTGTCACGCACATTTAACTAGCTCCACTAATTTTCTTGGTATTCCAATTCCTAGAATTGCTAGCCACAGTCTGCCTTTTTTTATCGAAAAATGATGATGTAAAATGCAACGTCTAGAATACTTACAAATTCACGGATGAAGTAAGAGAGGATAGCCATGTAAAAGCTAGTGGGGGACACTTCGGTAATGAACGTCTTGTAGGGTATTAAGACTGGTATGGTCCAAAATAGGAAGATATGAAGAAATGTAATCATTAGGGAAGCCGACTCGGCATAGTACTCTGCTCCGTATGGCACCTAATGCAGAACGGATAGTAGGAAAATATCAGACTGGTTTCAGAGGTGGTAAATAAACAATTCATCAGATTGCAACCCTGAAACAAATTTTGGAAAAGAAAAAACACTGGAATATGGCATTGATATTCATTACATATTTATAGACTATAAAGCAGCCTACGACTCTGTGAAAAGAAGAGAAATGTTCAAAGCAATGAACGAGCTAGGAATACCAAGTTAGTTGGTAAATTTAACAAAACTAACTCTTGAAAAAGTTGAATGTAGAGTACGAATTCAGAGGGAACTGTTTGAACGTTTTAAAACAAATATGGACTGCGCCAGGGAGACCCTCTCTCCCGTATACTGTTCAATCTGGCTCTAGAAAATACTAATATGTATGTCACAAATCACAACCACTTTTTCAATATATAATAAATCAGTGCAAAACCTGGCCTATGCTGATGATATCAATAGTGTTGCGAGAACGGAAAACGCTGCACGAGAGGAGTATGTAGCATTAAAATAATCAGCTACAAACTAAGTATATGAAAATAAGCACGCAACTACAAATCCTACGACCACTTGTTATAGAAAACGACGGCATCGAAGCAGTGAATGAGCGTGGAGAAGACGATACAACTTCGAACTTTATAGAATATGCCAGGAACCTGATACCTTAAAACATATTAAGATAGAACGTCTGAGGTGGATATGGCATGAAATGCGGATGGAACAAAATGACCCAACTAGAAAAACTCTCCTTGATAGACCCATTGGTCAAAGAATAAGAGGAGAACCAAGAACAAGATTACTTGATATATGTGAGAAATATGGCAATACCTGCTTGGCGGAAAAAGGTGATGGATAGGGACGACTGAACAGAAATTCTTGAGGAGGCTAGGACCCACGTAGGGTTGCAAAGCCAGAATGATGATGACTCGGTATAAGCAAATATAATAATGATAGCTGTATCCAAGTATGAAAATCAAACTTAAGTATATACGAAATAGTGTGCTTGCCTCTACTAAAATATTATTATATATTGTTATACGCATAGATAAAGCGTAGATGTTGTTGCCGAATAAATGTTATTTTAGATTTTACAGCTGTTTATATGATAGTACGCCACTGGTTTCAAAAAACAGGTATAAATAAGACGTTTTTCTCAACACCAGTTTAACCATTCATTTCTAAAAAGCCAGTTCCTTATTTATTAATAAGTAAAACCAATTACTTATTGATAATTGATTGAGCCGAACTCAAAATGGATAATTACTGACGTAGAACTTTAATATTTGAAATTAGCATATCTGCCTACAGAAAAAACAAGCCTTTACATTGTGTTCTTTCTGAACGACTTTAATTCAATTGTTTTAGCAACACAATTTAGTGTTCATAAAATTATTTATAACCATAAATTCGTAAAACATTGTTTTTTATATCTTACTTTGTTATTATGATAAAAAAGTGAAACCAAAACCAAAAAAACTGTATATAAGAATGAAGCTGTTTAAATAACCTACACCATAGTAGCAACGAAAAACTTACTAAAAACGCAATCATAAGAAAAATTGAGAGTGCTTAAGAGTAAGAATAGCTCAGGAAAAGGATTATGTGACTGATTGATTGATACACAGAAAGATGAGTAGTAATAGATAAACAAATAAAAGTACGCCCAGTTATCTCTAGAGGTAAAAGTCCTATATTATATTAACTAGGTATAAGGTAAAGAAAATATGGGTGTTCCAAATACCACAAAAGGTAAACTTAATTACAGAGCTTTGAACGAATCAGAAACATACAAATGAATCTAAAAAGAAAAACATTCCAAAAAGAGAGGCTACAATAAACTTATTTGGCGTTTAAAAGTACTAACATACTGATAATTTGGTGGACAGAAGAAAATAGCAAGATATTAGTCCAAGAAGCATGTGGAAAACACAGTCGAGGACACTACAATTAAATTAGTGATAACGAAACCATATTTGGTTTGTTACAATAACCCGCAGCCTATATGACCTGCAGATCTACGTATCTAAACAAATATTTCCGTGCACCGTGTGCATTTTGGTTAATCAGTCCAATAAGTTTATTTTTTATTTGGGTTACTCACCGACTTGAAGTACATTATCAACACATCCTGTTTCCAACAATTTTAATCCTTTACAGAACGACAAATTTTGAGAATCAGCATGGTGCGTTTGTCCAGCAGTATTCACAGCACTCGCGGGGGATGGGGGCACCCTCGACAACGAGGAATACATACAAATGTCCCTCTCATTTCTAGGGAAAGACCAAAAAATAATTCTCCTTTGCACTGGCTCAGGGATACGATCATAGCGTTCTTCAATTCGCTGAAAGGGAATAGTTTCGGCCACTGTTTTGGCGGTTATGTCGAGTAGTGAGTCCGGGGAACGCGGTCCCACAGGGGGGATCAATGATGGGGGCCCCCCCACGACTGCGGCCCGCGAGCAACACAGGCGCCTGTTGGCTTGCGCTGCCATTCGACTCGACACGACTCACGCGCTCGATGCACAGTTCTCTCACTCACTGACTAACTTACATTTGGTCGAGGGACTCGTCGAGACTCCTAGGGCGCAACTGAGATCGTAGAGATGCGGTGTTGCCGCGCACGACAACCTCAAATCCTACTGCTAATCTCAAACGGGTTTCAAATATTAAATCTTGACATCAGGAACTTTTTTATGGTGAGAACGCATTAAAAATATCGACCTTTTATAAAATATACAATAATTCTAAGAATTATTTATTGAGAATTTATAGAATTTATTTTTCTATGCGATTTTTATTCGCAAAAGTATTTTTATCGTACAATTTCTAAATTAACTTTTTTTTTAGCCAAATTTGCAAGAATTGGGTTAAGCACTTTAAAAAATTACATAGTTATACCCACTGTTATGTCAAAAGCCGAGGATCTCTAGAACAAAAATAATTCCATCAGCTCCTGTCATTTAGAATTTAGTTATTTTAAACGTCATCAGATCAGTCTTCTTCTACTTTAGCAACAAATAATTCTTCTTCTAAATGTGCCTATCTTCTAGAGATGTTGGCGACCACATTGACCCATCTTGTTCTATTCACAATAGCTCGAAATAAATCAGTTGCCGTTAAACCAGTCCACTTCCTAAGATTAGCCAGCCAGGATATACGCCTACGTCCACTGCCTCTCTTACTCTCAATCTTGCTTTATAGAATCATCTGTAAAAGTCGATAATCAATAAAAAAGGAATAATTCTTCGTTAATAAAATCTATATAAATCATTTTATTGATTGAGGTGGATTGAGTAGCTCAGTAAATGCCGGTGCCGGTCCCAGGCTCGGATAAAGGAGGAGGGTTGAGGCGATGGGCTAGCAACTCATCTCTTGTCAAAACAAATAAATGCTAAGGTTTTCGACCAAAAGCCTCGGAATACAAAGGATGGATCAAAACAAAGACGACTAATGCAACGGAAAAGGAAAATGATATTGGCTAAATGGAATGTACAAGGACTTAGATCCAAACAAGCAGAAGTATTCAAAGAATTAGCAGAAAGAAAAATGGATATATGTATTCTCACTGAGACCAAGAAAAAGGGAAAAGGAAATGAAGAGATAGGAGAATATATACATATCTACAGTGGAGTGAGTAAAGATAACAGAGCTAAGAGAGAGGTCTCTATTGCCATTCGAAAAAATCCTAAAAACAATATTAAATCATGGACTGAAGTAAATGAACAACTGCTAATACTGGAAATGAAAAAGAATGGACACAACATCGTAATTGTCGGAGTGTATGCCCCAAATGAAGATGCAGATCCAGAAAGTAAAGACGATTTCTACAACAAGATGAATGAAATACTCTCTGAAATTAAAGAAAACTGTTACATCTATATACTAGGGGATTTAAACGGCAGAGTAGGGAGAGAAGAAAATAACAGAGTCGTAGGAAGATATGGAGAACAAATAACCAATGACAACGGAATGCGTCTTAGAGATTTTTGTGAAACAATGTCTCTCGAGACAACTATTTAGAATAGCTCGAGACAGAGACAGTTTCGCCATGTTAATCGCCAACGTCAAGGTGACTTGATAGGGCACGTTAAGAAGAAGAATGTCTCTCAAAATTATGACTGGATTTTTTGAAGGGAGACATCCACAAATTTACATGGATACAACCTACTAGGAATCTGCGCTCGATAATCGACTATGTAATCTGAAAACAACTGACGTAAATGTATACCGTGGATCAGAATGTGGATCCAACCATCGTTTAGTTATGGCCAACGTGATAGTTAACTATCACAAAATCAGTAACACTCAGGTACAGAATATAGAAAAGGCACAAGAAGTAACATCCCGACATCCCCTAAATATAACCTAGAAAGCTTAAAAGAAGATTCAACGAAATTTCTTTATAAATTACGACTGGCCACAAAACTATAAAATGTGGATCGACAAAATATATCAGCGGAAGAATTATACCAGCAACTTAAAAAATGCATTCATGAGGCTGCAAGTGAAGCTTGCAGCCTCATGGGTCAAAGTAAAGACAAACATGAAACAAAAAATCATGAATGGTGGTCGAAGAATATGCAAACGTTAGTCAACAAGAAGAAAATTGCTTATCAGAAATGGATGTCAACGAGAAAGGAGGAAGATTACAAGATATATCAAAAATTAAATCGAGATGTAAAAAGAGAAGTAGTGAAAAGTAAAAATGAGATGTGGGATCGAAGATGTGCAGAGGTGAATATGTATATGGGTGGAACAAGAGTTGGGCAAGCTTGGAAGGTGATAAAGTTTTTCCGGAGAAAAGGAAAGGAAAAATCTAACTCACAGTTAATAGATCTGAAACAGTGGAAACACCATTATGAGGTCTTACTGACAGAGGATAGATGTAAATTCCAAGAGATCGAAATGGAAGAAATATCCGAACACACACAAATAATTGAGATAACAACCGGAGAGTTAAACGATGCTCTCAAAAGATCGAAAAACGGTAAAGCAGCAAGACCTGGAGACATCCCAATTGAGTTGGTAAAATATGGACCAAAAATATTACACGAGATGTTGGTTCAACTATTTAACAAATGCTTAAAAGGACAAAATAACGTAAATACTTTAATTATAGGGGAATAACTGTTATCAGCTCAGTGGGGAGGTTGTACGATCGAATAAGTCACATTAAAAATCTAAAAGGTACTTGCTAGCAAAGTATTAATATTTTAAAGGCACTGTCGAACATCTCCTGGGACAGCGATACGGCAACTCTTCTACGAATTTTTTCATCCTTAGTACGATCAAAAATTGACTACGGCTTAATGGTATATAACTCAGCCAAGAAATCTGTTCTTAAAGAACTAGATGTAATTCAAAATACGGGACTACGAGTCGCTTTGGGTGCCTTTCGAACAAGCCCCATACTAAGTATATGCAGTGAGTCAGGGCAAACCCCTCTAGAATTTAGAAGAGATTTTTAAAGTTTTCTTGTAAAGTTCTATCCTCTCCAGATAACCCAGTCTAGCATAACGTTCATAACAATCGTTTCAGCCACTACTTCTCATCTCACCCTCAATGCAATCCGCCTTTTTATGAACGAATTAACTGATTACTTCATAAATATAGCATAATATTCCCTACAAAATACCACCCTTCTGAAAACTCTCATCCTCCATGGACTGTAAATAAACCACCAGTGATCACTCATCTATCGAAATTTAATAAATATGAATCCCACCAGCCATACCAATAAACCACTTCAAAGATAATATGGATAGATTTAGGGACTACCGACAGATCTACACAGATGCATCAAAAACAACGGACGGAGTGGAGGCAGCCATTTTCGCTAATACATGCTCATAATTCTAAATTTAAGTTGCATAACAACTGAACTATCTCCAATGTAGAACTATACGCGATCCTTGATTCTCTAAAATTCATTAACAAGACGGACCAGAGAAATTATACAATCATAACTGACTCAATGAATGCCCTTTGTGACATCCAAAACATATACTCCAACAACCCTATTCATAAAGACATTGACAAAGAACTTCAAAATGCTGCAAAGGACAACGAACACGTAATATTAATCTGGGTTCCATCTCATATTGGGGTACACGGTAACGAGGTTGTGGACCGTCTAGCTCATGAAGCAACTACATGTGATGGTCAAGTTCAACTAAATAAAATAGTGCCAAGTGATCTCAAATTGTGCTTAAAAAACATAGTTGTGCGTGACAAAAGAAATGGTCGCAGTGTTCCGAAAAACTAAGTCAAATTAAAGACAATGCTTTACAAAAACAAGCCTTCTTGTTACCTAGAAAAAACAAGTCATCTTTACTGGACTCCGATTTGGTCACACTCGCCATACACATGTTTACGGAAACACAAGAGACAACCCCCCATACTGCAACCAGTGTCAAACCAACAGTACAGTAAAACATATTTTAATCGAATGTCAAATTTTACAGGAAACGAGAAGTAAACTTAACCTTTCCAGGTGACATAGGCGAGCTTCTTAGAGACAATAATTAATAATCATCTAAACAACATTATAAAATTTTTAACGGCTATAGGAATAAAAGATTTAAATTAAAATCTAGTTTGTATCACAAATTACATATATCAATCTTCTTTCATGTTATTATGTAATTAATATCATAACCTTTTTTTTTGTTTTAATATGTTTTTACCATTGTTGTCATCTTTAACCTCAGTGGTTCGGACGACATTAAATAAATAAATAAAAAAAATTAAAAGAATATCTGTCACTAAAAGATTCGATTCGTAACGATTGTCAAAATTTTTATGACATTTTAAATCATTTCTCATTTCTCATTTCTCATTTCTCATTTTTCATTTCTCATTTCTCATTTCTCATTTCTCATTTCTTATTTCTCATTTCTCATTCCTCATTTCTCATTTCTCATTTCTCATTTCTCATTTCTCATTTCTCATTTCTCATTTCTCATTTCTCATTTCTCATTTCTCATTTCTCATTTCTCATTTCTCATTTCTCATTTCTCATTTCTCATTTCTCATTTCTCATTTCTCATTTCTCATTTTTCATTTCTCATTTCTTATTTCTCATTTCTCATTTCTCATTTCTCATTTATCATTTCTCATTTCTCATTTCTCATTTCTCATTTCTCATTTCTCATTTCTCATTTCTCATTTCTCATTTCTCATTTATCATTTCTCATTTCTCATTTCTCATTTCTCATTTCTCATTTCTCATTTCTCATTTCTCATTTCTCATTTCTCATTTCTCATTTCTTATTTCTCATTTCTCATTTCTCATTTCTCATTTCTCATTTCTCATTTCTCATTTCTCATTTCTCATTTCTCATTTCTCATTTCTCATTTCTCATTTTTCATTTTAAATTTCTCATTTCTCATTTCTCATTTTAAATTTCTCATTTCTCATTTCTCATTTCTCGTTTCTTATTTCTCAGTTCTCATTTCTCATTTTAAATTTAAATCATTTCATATAAATACA